TAATATTATCTTTTAATCATGATGAATTAACTCATGAGATCTATATAACCAAAGTAATTATTCAGGTAGAGATTGATGACTATCAATTATGAATTCGTTGGGTTTGAGACTTTTTCATCTTTGATTTCTAAAGGTCTCATTTTGGGCCTGGGTGCCTTAGGGCTTTTTGAAAATATCCACCAATTGACCAAACACATTAAAATACACTCAAGTCAAGAAACAAGACTCTAGAAATCAGAAATACAAGAGAACCAAACTAACACAAAAATACAGAATGTCAGTGCACTTGGGGTGACTATCAAGTAGAAAATTTTATATAGAGCTGGTGTATGGATTATTTTCCTCATAATAAGTGTTCACATAACTAAGCATGTGAAAGAATGTAGCGTGCATGAAAGAGTTGGTCCATGCATTATTTTTCTCGTAATAAGTGGTCACATAACTAAGCACATGAAAGAATATAGCATGCATGATGATGTATAAAACTCGTTACACGTAAGATTTTTTGCGGTTAAAGATAAAATGCACACTTGTCCAGAAACTGAAGGACAATGTTGCTTTTAACTCATGTGGAGGATAACCCAACAAGTTTGTTAGCATTTACTCATATGATGTTCTGGCCTTTCAATCAAATAACAATATCTTGTGGATTATGGAACAGTCTTGTGAATTGTAATTAATTGATAATATAATCCAATATTACAAGAATTCTATAATGCTGAAAAAAGTAATTTCTATTCTCAAAACTCTCTAATAAACCCTCAGAATAGCAACTTTTCAGACTCAACAGCCTTCCTGGTCAAAAGGCTCACCCTAAGTTATAGGGCGACACGTGTTATGGTTCAAAACCATGACTATGATGTAATGTGTGCATGGGATCACACATGTCAAGCATTGAGTTGGTTTAAAATCATATATAAACCATGCCCAATTGTGAGATATTCATCATCAGCAAATCAAATTTGAGTTATAACAACTTCATCTGAATTTCAAGTGTTTTCAAGAAAACAAAGCAAGAAGAAAATGGCTGACAACTCTCAGAAGATGAGCTACCACGCTGGAGAGGCCAAAGGCCAAGCTCAGGTAATTAGCTCACCTATAAATTGTAATTTGCCATTTGTTTTTGCTTCTTTCTTCTATTTTCTTTTAGATTGATGTGGGATGTTTTGTATTGGATCATTTTGGATTTAATAGGAGAAGGCCAGTGGGATGATGGATAAAGCTAACAATGCAGCCCAATCTACCAAGGAGACAATGCAAGATGTTGGTCAGAATGTGCAGGCGAAGGCTCAAGAAGCTGCTGATGCAGTCAAGAATGCCACTGGCATGAACAAATGAAGCTGCTCATGATGATCATTTTCATGACTTTTAATGACTTTATAGAGTTAAGATGATGGCAAACTTTCATTGAGTTTTATAGAATTTTATGTATTTTTGTTTCTTTCTTACCCTTCTTTTGAAAGAATAAATATTGAAAATTGCATAGAATTCTAAAATGATGGAATTTAGATCTCCTGCATTTTAAGTTATGACAATTAATAATTTCTGTGTTTGGATTTATGTATATCAAATTTTGCAAATGAAATTACAGGGAATAACGAATTCATTCACTCAATAGAAATTCTGAAATGATGTCTCTTTTGATTGAAATTAAACTCGGAAATCGTGGGTGCTGAACTTTCGTGTTAAAGTAGCCAAACAATGGAAATATTAAATTCTACTATCCAATTCCTAACTTTTTGCTAAATAATTAACGTAGGGGTAATAGTAGTCTGTAGTATGACCAAAAGAAAATGAATTCCAAAATTATGTTTTGATCATGATGAATTAACTCATGAGATCTATATAACCAAAAGAATTATTCATGTAGAGATTCATGAATATCAATTATGAATTCGTTGGGTTTGAGACTTTTTCATCTCTGATTTCTAAAGGTCTCATTCCGGGCCTGGGTGCCTCAGAGATTTTTGAAATATCCACTAGTCGAACAAACACATTAAAATACACTCAAGTCAAGAAATTAGACTCCAAAAATCAGAAATGCAAGAGAACCAAACACACACTAAAATACAAAATGGAATGAACTTGGGGTAACTATCAAGTGGAAAAATTTATATAGAGCTGGTGTATGCATTATTTTCCTCGTAATAAGTGTTCACATAACTAAGCACATGAAAGAATGTAGCGTGCATGAAAGAGCTGGTTTGTGCATCATTTTTCTCGTAATAAGTGGTCACATAACTAAGCACGTGAAATAATATAGCGTGCATGATGATGTATAAAACTTGTTGTACGTAATATTTTTTGCAATTAAAGATAAAATGCACACTTGTCCAGAAACTGAGAGACAATATCGCTTTTAATTCATGTGGAGGATAACCCAACCAATTTGTTAGCATTTACTCATAAGATGTTCTAGCCTTTCAATCAAATAACAATATCTTGTGGATTATGGAATAGTCTTGTTAATTGCAATTAATTAATAATATAATCCAACATTACAAGAATTCCATAATGCTGAAAAAGGTAATTTCCATTCACAAAATTGTCTAAGAAACCCTCAAAATAGCAACTTTTAAGACACAACAGCCTTCCTGGTCAAAAGGCTCACCCTAAGTTATAGGGTGACACATGTTATGGTCCAAAACCATGACCAGGATGAAAGTGTGCATGTTATCACACATGTCAAGCATTCAGCTGGTCTAAAATCGTATATAAACCATACCCAATTGTGAGTTATTCATCACTAGCAAACCAAATTTGAGTTATAAAAACATCATTTGAATTTCAAGTGTTTTCAAGAAAACAAAGCAAGAAGAAAATGGCTGACAACTCTCAGAAGATGAGCTACCACGCTGGTGAGGCCAAGGGCCAAGCTCAGGTAATTAGCTCATCTATAATTCTCCATTTGTTTTTGCTTCTTTCTTCTACTTTCTTTTAAATATTACATTATTATATGTGAATGTGCATTGAGATTGATGTGGGGTTTTTTGTATTGGATAATTTTGGATTTAACAGGAGAAGGCCAGTGGGATGATGGATAAGGCTAACAATGCAACCCAATCTACCAAGGAGACAATGCAAGATGCTGGTCAGAATGTGCAGGCAAAGGCTCAAGGAGCTGTTGATGCAGTCAAGAATGCCACTGGCATGAACAAATGAAGCTGCTCATGATGATCAATTTCATGACTTTTAATGACTTTATAGAGTTAAGATAATGACAAACTTTGTTTGAGTTTTATAGACTTTTATGTAATTTTTTTTCTTTCTTACTCTTCATTTGAATGAAGGAACTAAAAATTGCATAGAATTCTAAAATGATGGAATTTAGATCTCCATCATTTTCATTTAGTGGTAATTAATAATTTCAATGTTCGGATTTATGTATGTCAAATTTTGTAAATGACATTTAGGGAAAAAAGAATTCTAATATTATCTTTTGATCACGATGAATTAACTCATGAGATCTATATAACCAAAATAATTATTCATGTAGAGATTGATGAATATCAATTACGACTCTTGAGATTGAGGCCCAATTCGTTGGGTTTGAGACTTTTTCATCTTTGATTTCTAAAGGCATCTTTTTGGGCTTGGGTGCCTTAGTGCTTTTTGAAATATCCACAAGTTTACTAAACACATTAATGACATGTTTGCTAATCCATAATTAGATTATGATGAATTGAATTGAGGATAAATTGAATTGATGAGAATTATATTTTGGATTCCTATTGAAGTTCTTTACTAAACCATATGGATTGAGGAGAATTGAATTCCGGATTTCTATTGAAGTTGTTTACTAAACCATATGGAATTGGGGTAATAGTGATCCAAATTACTAAAATGACCCCATTGTTTGGTTAAAGTAGATGACAAATTTTAAAATTGTGTGAGGATATAATGGGTAACAAAGATGAATTCCTAATAGATTAGTTCCCCATGAATTAGAATACTACTTCCAACCCAAGAATTAAATTTCTCCAAAATCAGGAATTCAATTCCTAATTTTATGTGGGCCCCACTTACTTTTTAATTCCTTAATGTGAAGTAAACACGGGAATTCTCCATGGGTGAAATTCAATTCCTTATAAGAATTCCAATTCCTAATTAGTAAACATACCATAAAATGCACTCAGGTCAAGAAACAGAACTCCGGAAATCAGAGATACAAGACAACCACACACACAACACACACAAAAAAAAAAAAAAAAAAAAAAAAAAAAAATGAATGACTTGCAAGTAGAAAAATTTATAGAGCTGGTGTATGACACTATTTTCCTCGTAATAAGTATTCACATAACTAAGCACTTGAAAGAATGTAACGTGCATGAAAGAGCTGGTGTATGCATTATTTTTCTTATATTAAGTGGTCACATAACTAAGTACATGAAAGAATATAGCGTGCATGATGATGTATAAAACTTGTTACAAGTATGATTTTTTGCGGTTAAAAATAAAATGCACACTTGTCCAAAAACTTAGGAACAATATCGCTTTTAACTCAGTGGTGGAGGATAACCCAACAAGTTTATTAGCATTTACTCATAAGATGTTCTGGCCTTTCTATCAAATAACAATATGTTGTGAGTCTTGCGAATTGTAATTAATTGATAATGTATTTTTAGGCCTAGTAATGAAGGAAATATAATCCAATATTATAAGAATTCCATAATGCTGAAAAAAGTAATTCCATATTCAAAACTGTCAAAACCCTAAGAATAGCAACTGTCGATGAAGATAAGACTCAACAGCCTTGTCCTGGTCCAAAAGGCTCATCCCAAGTTATAAGGCGACACGTGTTGTGGTCCAAAGCCATGAAATGTGTGAATTGCTTCCGCATGGCATCACACGTGTCGAGCATTCAGCTGGTCAAAAATTCTATATAAACCTTACCCAAATGTGAAATATTCATCATCAGCAAACCAAATTCGAGCTATAAAAACTACATCTGAATTTCAAGTGCTTTCCTCCAGTTTCCAAGAAAACAAAGCAAGAAGAAAATGGCTAGCAACTCTGAGAAGGTGAGCTACCACGCTGGTGAGGCCAAGGGCCAAGCTGAGGTAATTTTCTTCACCTATTATTCTCCATTTGTTCCTGCATTTTTTGGTTGTTGAATATTACATAATTTATATGTGAATGTGTATTGAGATTGATGTAATTTTGGATTTAACAGGAGAAGGCGAGTGGGTTGATGGGTATGGCAAACAATGCAGCCCAATCTACCAAGGAAACAGTGCAAGCGGCAGGCCAGAATGTGCAGGCCGCGGCTGTAGGAGCTGTAGATGCAGTCAAGAATGCCACTGGCATGAACAAAAAATGAAGCTAGCTGCTCATCATGATCTCAATATGAGCATTTGCAGTTTTTTTTCTTTTTTTTTGGGAGCTTTCTAGTAGTTGCTTTTGATTTCTGTCTTCTAAACAAGGGAGCTCTAAGTCCTCTTGAGTTCTCATCATCTGGGTGTGTACTTTCGTTCACACTTGGTTTCTGTTTTTGTTTTCTTTTTCTTTTTGTTCATGTTTATCTCCTTTGAACAAGGAAAGTGGGCTCTGCCTATTGTAGTTCTCACCTAATTGAATCATAAGCTGTTTTTAATCCCATCTATATGTTCAAGATTGGTCTTTTGTTTATATGCAGATGAACAAAATCTGACCTAAGAGGTTCTGAAAATAAAAAACATAAAAACAAGAAGATATAAATTAATTAAGCAAGTGCGACAACTCATAATTAAGAGTTGCTACTTTTGCATAATTAAGAGTAACTACTTTTGCATCCGAAGGCGGTAGAATTTTATTAATGATGCAGGATGAAAATAAGTAAAACAATCAGATTACGTCTAAAGGATTATGCGAGTATCTCTACACATAAGAGCGTAGTGGTCATCGAATTACCTAGATAGCCTACATTCTCAACCTTCTCTCGAACTTCTTAGGTAGCCTACCTTTTCAACCTTCTCACTTGCAAACGAAAAAATAAAAAAACTTGCCACCGCCGTTGGAGTGGCCCCATCTCTCTAAGATAAGCTACTTAATTTTAGAACAATATCGTGACTATGTGGAGCTATGTAGCTTTCCCACATCAAAGAAATTTCTGTGACCTTCTTCTGTGAAATTAAAGTACCATAATTTGTTGAAAATTAAGCACTTTTGTCGAGAAATATCTAGAAAAATCTAGATAAGACCACCGACCTAGCTAAAGTCTACATATGCCAGAACTGTCATATGAAATATCCAAGATGGTACTATTAGATTGATAATACGATAAAAACTAGTGGAGACCACAAAGTTGTGGTTAGGAATGTAGCAGCCGGCAGCTCGGCTGAAAATGTGTGGTTAGGATTAGGAACAAAACAAGCCAAAGTGGGTGGAGCTTGAGCATGTCGGCTGCTGTCATCTGTAAATGAATTTGGTATGTTTATTTTAAAATTAATTAATCATACCTTTATTAGTGGGAGTTAAATTTCCATTAATCCGACTCAACTTCTTTATGCTTGTGTCTATTAACGTCTTTCTTGGTGGTATACTATGTGTACATGTTAGCTATAGCTTGAAAAAGGAAAGAGATAGAAAAGCCACAGCCTTCTTCCTCTTCGTCCCTATGAAATTCTCTCTTTTTTTATGATAAAATTTGGGTGCAATCCACACATGTATTGTTAGTAATCCAAGTTCTCTAACTTCAATGTCATATAGGATTACATTCTTTTTCTAATTTTATGATGTAATAATATATATTTTTTCTTTTTAAATTTATTTTCATGTTCCAATTATGCCCTTATGATTTAAATCGGGAGAGACTGATTTATATCATAATACTTAGCTAATTAATACAACTATTGATTCTGATTACAATTCATAAACGGGTAAGAAATTAATTTTAGGCCAATAATTACTATATTTGACCTTTTAGTTAATTATGATTTGAATTTATAAAATATTTTCTTGTCTATCTATTTTAATTTTGAAAATCCCATAAACATGCACTCATACAAAAAATAAATAAATAAATTTCCTATAATCCTTCTTCTTCATCTTGTTCATCTTCTTTTTTATTCTTCCTTATTTTGCTTCTTACAATCCCATGGAGGAGGTATAATTATCTGTGGACTAGGAATATACATGAATGTTAATTAGGTATGAATTACCCATGGAGGAGATATACATATGAATGCTATTTATCTATGGAGGAGGTATACATATGAATGTTAATTACTTATGGAGGAGATAAATGATATGAAATTACCTATGAAAGAGGTATACACAAACCTGCAAAGCAGGTAAATCAAACCACCCAAAGACATATATAACTCACCATAAGGTATTCACGGTTGAAAGCATTTGATATATTGAGATTAATTGTAGAAATGTGATATTAATCTATTGATTGCTGTAATTAATAAAATTTAGAGGATTGACTGTACAATGGCAATATGTGTAAATGTTGTAAAAACAGTGGCCAAGATTTTGCATACTTGGCTGGCTTGTTAAGTTGCTGGACCCAATTCTATATCAAAAGAGAGGTGGACTGCATTCATAATGCAAACTCAAAATTGGACCTATATCGAAAGACCCGTTCTTTTAATTTATGTATTGAGATTTCTGAGCAACATAGTTAGAAAGGTGTTTGTTACCTTTTCTAAACTGCTTGCACAAATTGGGCGTAGAGCCGTGAAATGTCTTAAAGAGAACGACTTTGTACACGACTCATCCCATATTTTTCGTGTAATATTGTTCTCTTATTTTAATTTGTTCATCAACAATTTTTTGTTTTTTTTTTTTTTTTTTTTTTTTTTGAAGAAAGTTTTATTAGAGACGAATAGCTAAGTTTACATCACTAGCTAAAATATCAAAGATCCACTCGGGCCACACTCGGTCCCAAATGTGGTTACCACCTACTCTAGGCACAAAGGCCGCAACCTTGTGCGCTGCCTTATTACACTGACGGGGAGCGTCAAGTCGATGTTGCGGTGGAGCCTCAATTTTTCATCTGCCATTGATGTGAATAATAAGGCTTATAGATTCTATGACTTAAAGAACCATGTTGTACTTGAATCTAAATGATGTTGTTTTTTTAAAAGATAAGTTCTCATATAAATTGAGAAATTGTGGGGACTCAAGTTCTCGTAATACATCTTTCCCATAAATAATGAACCTTGAGGTATAGAACATTTTTAACCAACTTAGAACCTAGAACCAAGGAAGAGTAAGAAAGAACGAATTGCCAAGGATTTTGGACCTAATTTTCATGTTTATACCTTAGAGCAAGGATTTTGGACCTAACTTTCACACTTGGTTTTTGTTTTTTGTTCATGTTATCTCCTTTGAACAAGGAAAGTGGGCTCTGCCTATTGTAGTTCTCACCTAATTGAAGCATAATCTTTTTTCATGTGCTGGTGTTAGAATTATCTTCATCCTTTACTTCGATTTAATCCCATCTATATATTCAACTAGACAACGATAGAATCGTGACTGAAAAACCGTCGTCTGATGCCTTGCAAGAGACGATGGTCACCTATACGACGATTATGCGTCACATACGAGGACTGCACTGTGTCTAGAAATATCTAGAAAAATTTAGATAAGATCACCGACCAAGCTAAAGTCTACATATGCCAGAACAGTCATATAAAGTATCAAAGGTGGTACTATTAGATTGATATGGTAAAAACAAGTAACCACAAAGTTGTGGTTAGAAATGTAGCAGCAGCTCGGCTGAAAATATGTGGTTAGGAACAAACAAGCCCAAGTGGGTGGAGCTTGAGCATGTCGGCTGCTGTCATCTGTAAATGAATTTGGTATGTTTATTTTAAAATAAATTAATCAATAATTACATTAAATTACCTTTGTTAGTGGGAGTTAAATTTCCATTAATATGACACAACTGCTTTATGCTGGTTTTAAGTCCATTAACGTCTTTATTGGTGGTATATTATGTATATATATATTATTAGCTATAGCTTGAAAAAGAAAAGAGATAGAAAAGCTACAGCCTTCTTCCTCTTCATCCCTATGAAATTCTCTCTTTCTTTTACTTTATGTATTGAGATTTCTAAGCAACATAGTCAGAAAGGTGTTTGTTACCTTTTCTAAACTGTTTACACAAATTGGCGTAGAGTCGCGAAACATCTTAAAGAGAGCGACGTCGTACGCAATCATTCCAAGCTACATATTGTATTTTTCATAATATTGTTCTCTTATTTTAATTTGTGCATCAACAATTTTAAGACGTTTTTATTTGCCATGGATGTTAATAATAAGGCTTATAGATTCTATGACTTAAAGAACCATGTTGTAATTGAATCTAATGATACTGTTTAAAAAAAAAAGAAAGATAAATTCTCATTTAAATTAAGAAATTGTGGGGACTCAAGTTCTAGTAATACATCTTTCCCATAAATAATGAACCTAGAGGTATAGAACATTTTTAACCAACTTGGAACCATGGAAGCCTAAGAAAGAACGAATTGCCAAGGATTTGGACCTAATTTTCATGTTTATACCTTAGAGCAGGATCCCGCCACTCTCCAATCAAATATATATATATATATATATATATATTTTTTTATGTTCAGATTTATTTCGTTAATTTTTTTTTAATCTTTCATATTATTTACTTATGGTTTTACAAGATTTTATTGTTTTGTAGTTTCGCTAATATGCTGCTCTGGTGCTTCCATTACAATCACATCTGTAAATGTACAATCAGACAATATTTCAGTGAGTTTGAATTAGCATGTGCCTTCTTTATGTTGTCGGCCACCTATATTGGATACACATTCATATAGAAAAAGTCACCTATATCCCTGTTGCCAGTTCTACATCACCCAATAAAAACTATGTGCACAGTGGGATCTCTGAGATATGGTACCTACCAAGATTTAGACTCAACTACACAAAAGATCATTTCCATTACCCTATTTTCCATCAATATTTTCTCAACCCAAGAATTCCAACCATCACTAGTAATGTATGAATATGTCAACATTAATCAAATAATTAACAACACGTAAACATCCAATATCAAGAACATTATAATATCAAATTATAATATCAAGCTATGATATAGTATTCACGAAATTTAATTAAATCAATCCCTGTAAAGGCCCTCAAGAAACCCCTACCTCGATTCCAAAGCTAGCTCAAAGTTTAAGAAAACACAAGTTAGGCCCTATATCTCCTCCAAGAATTCATCACCTCTCTCTCTCTTTTTCTCTCTTTTTCTCTCTTTTACTTCCTCTCTCATTTCTTTCTTGTTTCTTACTCTTATTTCAATTCTAGAAGTCCCTATTTATACTAGCATAAGTCGGCAACAACAAAGATCTCATTGGATAATTGTTTGGCGGCTAAGGAAGGAGATATGCATGGAAACTATCTTATATAAATAATATAAACTAATATTAATCCTATCACAAAAGTAGATAAAGTAATTAGAAGATTGACACATCAGCCTTAAGAGATAAATGATAATGGCATTCACTATACCGGGATATAAGATATGGCCGTAACGTGCTTGCTTTTCAACTTCACCCTAGTAGGGCTGTGTGTTGTTGTTAGAGAAGGAGTTCAGAACTATATGTTACTCTTGTATATTCTGGAGTTCTGTCACTACATAGAGGTTCAAGTTGAAAGACACCTTTACTTATACACAATCTTATGATATGTTGCTCAATGAACTTATTTTTAAAATAAATAAGTGGGGATTGTTGAATTTGGTATGTTTATTTTAAAATAAATTAATCAATAATTACATTAAATTACCTTTATTAGTGGGAGTGAAATTTCCATTAATATGACAGATTTTTCTTAACTGCTTTATGCTGGTTTTAAGTCCATTAACGTCTTTCTTGGTGGTATATTATATATATATATATAGAGTAATGCTAGGCTTACCACATTTTTCATACCACAATTGTACCACCTCTCTAATAGAGGTGGAGTCCACCAATACAATGGGACCCACCTCTATTAGAGAGGTGGTACAATTGTGGTATGACAAATGTGGTAAACCTAGCATTTTCCATATATATATATATTAGCTATAGCTTGAAAAAGAAAAGAGATAGAAAAGCCAACCTTCTTCCTCTTCATCCCTATGAAATTCTCTCTTTCTTTTACTTTATGTATTGAGATTTCTAAGCAACCTAGGGACGTAATAACTTTTTTTGAATTGTTTGCACAAATTGGGTAGAGCCGTGAAACGTCTTAAAAAAAGCGACTTAGTACACGACTCATCCCAAGAATCGTTCTAAGCTACCTATCGTATTTTTCGGGTAATATTCTCTTATTTTAATTTGTGCATCAACAGTAGATAGGAGTGCAAACCGTTTGATTCTTCTAACTCTACAGTTCGTTTATGGTTTAGGATTAGATTGGATGGGACTTTTGGTAGGATATCAACAACTTATAACTTATCTCACCCAATTCCCCAAAATGAAAAATCATTTATTTATGCATTCATTCCCTCCTTCGGCTTACGTGAACGGTGGCGATTATTTTGGGCTGGTTTACGTTGGTGGCGAATAGAAAAGATGCTTAGTGTTTTTGAGGGAGGTGTGTGGTACTGTTTTTCCTTGACCGAATTTTCCTCCACTGGGAGTTTTCAAAGCAAGGTTTTATGAGGTCACCCTAGGTACACCTCCTTTCTCCAATTTTTCTTGTTGTTTCTTGAATGTTATTTTGATTGTTTCTGAAGAAGTAATAAAGATTGTTTATTTGATAAAAAATAATAAGGGGAAATGGTAATGCTAGTAAATAAATATTTGTATCAATTATCAGCAGGAAGTAGTTGTCAATCTAAAAATAATTTGATTTGAGGGTGGTTTTTAGTAAATAAATATTTTGTATCAATTATGTGGTGCAACGAGGAATTTTATAGATGTAGATAGCAATGTTCGAAAAATCGCTAGGCGGTAGGCAAGGGCCTAGCGGCTAGAATAGTAATCAGGCTTAGGCCTTTTTTTTTTATTTTATAAAAATAATTATTTTGTATTATAAATTATAAATTTATACCAAAATCATGCAAAATAAAATGATATATAAATTATAAAAAATCATAATTGATATAAAACATGGGAAAAAGTTACTACAAAGAAAAATACTTGATATGAAACGTTAGGCCTCTAAATCTCACTCTTCCTCCTCTCCATATCCCTCCAAGACTAGGTTTTATTTAAAGTCAGGCCAAAAAAAAACAAAAGGACTCAACCCGCCTAGCCCGCCTAGGCGGATTTTTTTATTTTTTTTTATTTTTTATTTGTTGGACGATTTTTCGAACACATAGATACTAACTCGGTTATGTTTTTATCCTATCCAACCCCTGAAAATCCACCAAACTTGAGCCGATATAGCAGATACTTTGATTTTTCTCCTTCCCGTTCCACTCACGGTTGACAAACTCAAAAGAGCTTCTCAGGCGAAGCAATGGCGGTGCCTCTCTTCAACCTCACCCCAAATCTTACCGACTCTGAGTCTGATACTTTGGGCCCCCCCTCTCATCCTCAAATATAAATTCATTCGTCACAGGGACGATGACTTTCGGCGAGCAAAACACGTTTCCGGAGTTGTTTGGCCTCCTCGACCAAGCTTTACTGTCCGGCATCAATTTCTTCGACTATACAGAAATGTATCCAGTGGTTCAGTGAGCCCAGACTCAGGGTCAGGGGAGGAGTGAGGAGCGTCGTTTTGGCCATCAAGGTTGTAAAGTAGCTCTGAGAGTATCAGTTCATGCTAACAATGGTGTGCCAGCTTGGTTTTCACTTCTGATGTGTGAAAATTTGTTCTGATATCAGGTACCGTCTGGGCAGATGACTTGGATACGAGATGGTCCCAAGCGTTTGAATGCTAAGAATATCACCGAGGCCATTGACAGCACGTTTGCTAAAGCAAACAGTTTGTAATTTTTCTTCGGTTTAAACGCTTCGTGTTATGCTGTGCTGAGTGATGAGTTATGTAATGTTTAGATGCAGCTTAAGTGTTTTCGGATTGCAGACAGATTACATTGATCATTGGCCTGATCGGTTTGTATGTAGATAAGTGTTTTCGGATTTTGCTTTCACATTACTTTAAATTTGCAGATTGACATGAATCTGCCCCTCTGGGTGATACCTTTCCGCTGGTATGATGCCCAGTGGTTATTAATATTTTTTTTAAAGTCAATATATTACTTTTGATTAAGTGTATGCATGCATGCTTGGGTGTGCGGGTATATACAAGCCTGGGCTTCTGCACCTGTGCCATAGCAGTTCATGAATGTCTGCAGTACTCCTTGTTCTACAAGGAAAATTATTTTGAACCAGCATTTGGTCTCTTTACTGCATGTTGTATTTATCGAATATTGCCCGTCGCATGTTGATTTAACAATCTGCTTGTATTTCCATTCACAGGATACGTTGATATTGCAGGGAAGTACAGTGTTCATCCAGTATCTCTTGCAATAGGTTCGACACCTCTCCCTCCAATTCTTTATAGTTTCTTCATGTTCTTATCCACGTTAGGACTCTGGTTTGGAGACTTAATGGGGGTCCTGCAGATGCTAGGTTGAATCTTTTTAGAGGTCAATTTTCAAATTGTTCATCTCATCTTTTGATATATGTAGGAACTTAGAATACTAAAATAATTTTCTAGGATTTTTAAATAATTTTAAATTCCACAAAATTAATTACTAGTTATGAAGTAATTTATGAAATTAATTAAAATATTTAAATACTAATTCTTCACTAAATAAAAAATAATTAAAACATCATATATTTAAATAGTATAGCCGTCCGGCTATACCTTTGGAATATTCGAATATATTTTAAGAGTATAGCCGTTCGGCTATACCCTCTAAATATTCCAATATATTTCAAGTGTATAGCCGCGCGGCTGTACCATTTAAATATTCCAATATATTTAAAGAGTATAGCCGTTCGGCTATACGTTTAATATATCCGTATATATTTAAAGAGTACAGCCGTGCGGCGATATTGTTAAATTCAAGTATAGCCGTCCGGCGATACTCTATTAATATATTCTAATATTTAAAACGTATAGCCGGGCGGCTATACTCTTTAAATATATTATGTTCTAATTATTATTTATTTAGTGATTAATTAGTATTTAAATATTTAATTTACTTCATAAATAGTAATTAATTATTTTAAATAATTTTGTGAAATTTTAAAATAGTTTCAATTATTTAAAAATCCTAGAAAATTATTTGTGTATTCTAAAAATGGATTTTAGCCTCCAAACTCTAAATCCAAGTCTTGAACTGGGGACTGTTATTATTGGTAATGGCGGTGTTTTACGAAACATTCGTCACCATGTTGCCGAAAAAGATTGGTAAAGGGAAAGGAGACGATTGATCTGCCTCTCAAGAATTTTAGAGTTGCTTGTTAAAATTTGGGGACAAACTGTTGAAAACACAAATTTTGGAAATTTTGAGTGAATAGAGAATCATAATGATAATTTTGGTTTAATAATTATATTTGCGGAGTGATAATTTTGCATAAATTATGTCTGATTGAAGGTGTGATGTGTCTCCGGCCACGAAACAATGGACCTGGCTTTAAACAACAATCCAACTTACTCCAGGAGGCTTTTCTAACCCTTTTCCCTGAGCCGTGTTCTTATCTGCCTGACCTCCATCCATAGACCTGCTGCAGCATATATATTAGATATCAGAACATAATTCCCCGCATTCATCGGTTCTAATTCAACAAGTTTTTCAAATATGGTTCCAGCTAACTTCGTGGCAGAATGAAGTCGACAAGCATTGAGCAAGGCTCTCCACACTGATGCATCTGCTTCAATGAATAGGCATCGATTCAAAGCTAGGCCTCTAAATCTAACTCTTCCTCCTCCTCCTCCTCTCCATGTCCCTCCAAGATTATATTTATAAAAAAAACCCGCCTAGCCCGCCTAGCCCGCCTAGGCCGATTTTTTATTTATTATATTTGTTGGACGATTTTTCGAACACATAGATAGTAACTCGGATCTGTTTTTATCTTATCCAACCCCTGAAAATCCACCAAACTTGCGCCGATATGGCAGATACTTTGATTTTTCTCCTTCCGGTTCCACTCACAGTTGACAAACTCAAAGAGCTTCTCAGGCGAAGCAATGGCGGTGCCTCTCTTCAACCTCGCACCCAATCTTACCGACTCTGAGTCTGATTCTTTGGCCCTCCCTCTCATCCTCAAATACAAATTCATTCTTCGCGCATGGACGATGACTTTCGGCAAGCAAAACACGTTTCCGGAATCGTTTGGCCTCCTCGACCAAGCTTTCCTGTCCGGCATCAATTTCTTCGACTCTACAGAAATGTATCCAGTGGTTCAGCGAGCCGAGACTCAGGGGAGGAGGGAGGAGGGAGGAGCGTCGTTTTGGCCGCCAAGGTTGTAAAGTAGCTCTGAGAGTATCAGTTCATGCTAACAATGGTGTGCCAGCTTGGTTTTCACTTCTGATGTGTGAAAATTTGTTCTGAATTGATATATAGCGGATTTCTGTTATACTTTAATGTACAGTGATGCACATGTGATCTCTAATGATATTGAGATGAAATTTACTGATCATTTGTCTGCAATGTTCTAGCAAATATTTCTGATGGACATGCAAGTTTACAAGTGGATCTAGTTTGGAGCATTGGTATGCTATGAGAAGTTTGCTGCTATCCCAGAAGGATATAGCGATGCTCATTGGAATACCCTGTCAGAAGATTCAAAGGCTACTGGTAAGAAAAAAACTATTCTAGCTCAGTCAACAATGGAGTTAGAGATGATAGCTCTTGCAATGGCTAGTGAAGCAAGTTGGTTGAGAAACTTACTGACAAATACCCCTTTGTGGGAGAGATCAATGCCGACTATTCTTATCCACTGTAAAATTCAATACTGACTTAGTACGCGACTCATTCCAAGAATCGTTCAAAGCTACATATTGTATTTTTCGGTTAATATTCTCTTATTTTTATTTGTGCATCAACAGTAAATAGGAGTGCAAACCTTTTCATTCTTCTAACTCTATAGCTCGCTTTTGGCTTCTAGGATTAGATTGGATGGGACCAACAACTTATAACTTACTCACCCAATTCCCCAAAATGAAAAATCATTTATTTCTGCAATCATTCCCTCCATCAATTTATCTTAGTGACTTATCCAATCCAACCTAATTCTGAGTACCAATCGAACCCTAAGTCTCTTGTCCTAAAACACTAAACACTAACTCTTCATAAACTCCTTCGCTTATCAAAAGAGTTTCTTTAGTTCTCTTTTGATTGGTGGCGTTTCAGAAATTTGAATGTTCATGCATGATTTTTATTTGTGCTCTTTATCTTCATGCTCTATGAAGATGGCTACATTAAAGTGGTTGGTTTTTCCTATAAGAGTTTTCACTGCTTATTGATTTTGTGGCAGACGTGCATAGCACATATGGAGGAGATTTTAACCAGTCTGGCAAACGTGTAAACATATCTTGATCAAGGATTGAAATATCGGCCGATACACCGATATATCTGCCGATATATCGGTATTTTCAACTGTCGACACCAATACTAGGGGGTAAGGCCATATCTTCCCCCGTATCGACGATATATCCCCGGTAAGTGCGATATCTCCGATATTTTGCTAATATCCCCGATATTTCCCGATACCTATAACAGAACCCAAAAAAAATCAAAAGTTAAGGCAATTGAAGCAAATTGAAACACAAAAATAGCTAATCTTTGCCCAAAACCCTATAATTTATTAATATGAAGAATCTATGCACAGTCCACTGCCCACATACCTCCAATCCATCTGAAGAGGAACACAACGATCAGTTTTGGATCTATAAGCATAGGAACTAGACCTAGTACTAACTCAAATGAATCTTATGATGGCTATGGTTGTCATGTCTGATTATAGTGGAACTAGTTATGAAGCTCAAGATGATAAAACATATTATGGACCTACTAGTTGGTTAATCCTAACTATCCCATATATGGGAGGACAATAGGGGTCTTAAGAGAGACCCATGTTCAAACATGGTTTACAAATTGCTCGGGTTACATGACTTGGTATGACTATTGTATGAATCGAGATGGTTGTTCCTCATTATTTGAACCTCATAAGAGCTCTTCATTTATACAGATGGACACTTATCTAAATTGTAATCCAATGTTTAAACAAACTATGGATTTATGCATGGTTTATTCATTCTAATTAACATTTTATTTTCAAAATTTTCATTAACGCACATTACATACCACTTATATTTCATCATATGTATATCTTTTTATTAGTAAATTTTGAGTTTTATTTGTTCAATACATTCTTTGATAATGTACATAACATCTATGAATGTTTTACACCAAAATTATGTGTTTCAATGCCTATATCTGTCATTTTTGTTGATTTTTTCCCGATACCTAAAACGATAACGATATATCCCCCGAAATATCCGTAAATTGGAGGCCCGATATTATCTGCACGGCCGATATTTTAATCCTTGATCTTGATATATACTCTCCAGGGAAGAGGGCTCTGCCATTTGTAGCTCTCATAATTCATAGACTTTACCATTGTGACCTGGTTCTATATATATAGTTGATCTACTTCGTAATAAGCCCATCTCTGTAATTTATGATATGAGTAAACAAAAGTTGCAAAGATGATCTTAATCCTACCTTTACTTTCCATAGTCGGTTCCACATCAGTCATCTAAGTTCTCAACCTTCCTCTTTCGCAAATCTTCTGACAAGGAATTCAAAGAGGACTTTGAACCAAAGATTCCAAAAAATAAAATAAATTTAACTCAAGCTTACAAATTAAGAGAAGTTAGTAAAAGAAATTTCTCTGACCTGCTTCTGCTTCAATCGAATTATCGATTATTTTTTAAATATGACATACTCCCAAGCACCTGTTGTTCATGTATCATTACATGAAGATAAAAGTGACACTCGGCTTTGGGACTGTTTATAAGAATCACTTATGCTCATAAGGCCTCGTTTGGTTCATGGAATGAATTTGAGGAGAAATCATTTCCCATGTCATGCCCCAAGGAATGAGAATGGAAGATTCATTTCCCACGTTTGGTAATGCTGGGAAAATAACCAGGAAATATCACTTTATTTCATTTTCTATGTTTGTTTTGAGTAGGAATGGAAAACAAAGTTTGTATAAATTTTCAATTATACGCATATTAAATCAAATAAAAAAAGAATGCATTTAATGATATATTGTAATTCTAAATTGTTAATGAGGATAAAATGGTCATAACAAATATGTATTTAAAATTAGCTCATTTTCCCAAACTTTCTCATGAGAAGGGAAAACCAAACCCAAGTTGGGAGGATGACTTCACTTTCCCCCTTACTTTCCCATGAGTCAGGCAACGATTTCCTATACCTAGACTTACCAAACATGGGAAAGCAATTGATTTCTCATTCCCAAATCTCCTTTCCCATGAACCAAACAGGGCCTAAGTGCTTTTATTTTTATTTTTGCAAGACGATAAGTGCTTTCAAATTATAAGTATGTTGAAATGTTTATTAAAGATCCAAGTTCTTAAAGTGCTTCATTAAGAAACTCTTAGCAGAAAATGCTTTAAAAACCCATAATTAAAACTTTTTTCCAAACACCTTCAGAAATGCTTTTAATTTAGAAATTTAAGTTGACAATCTGTATCAAAGGAATTGGGGCTGATTGTCTTTTTTGTTTTAAGGTGTGAGTGGAATTTCAAACTTAAATGAGGTTACTTTTGGTATTTCAAAAACTTTGCTATTTTATTTGAATATTACAAAATAAAAAAATTTAAAAATAAAAAACTTTGCGATTTTATCAACAAACAAAAAAAGGGGTTAACCAAAAACCCTAATCTCCGTCAGACGCACAATTCATCCTCACCTGGAAATCCTGATCCTAGCAATGAGACACCAATGGCGTCTGCTTCTTTTCCGAGCTCACCACCGCTCTTCGCCTCACGTGTTCGTAAAGTCTTCTTACTCTCAGGTACACTCCCAACCCAATCTCCATTCACTTAGCTCCCTCACTTCTCACTTCCACACTCACGCTCTCAACCCAAAGCTTTCACCTTCACACCCCATTTTCAATTCCCATCTCACGAACCCAATAAACCCTAGAAACCCCTTGTCCCGCAACCTCTCATCTGAACCAGCACTTGAGCTTAAAGACTCCGATCACGGGGCCATAGCTGAGATTTTCGCTAAACCCAGGGGTGTGGATGATATTAGGAAAGACTTGGAACTGAACAACGTTGTGATTAGCCATGATTTGGTTTTGAGGGTTTTGAAGAGCCTCGAATCGAACCCCGATGTTGCGAGGAGGTTTTTTGATTGGGTTTTGGCATGTGAAGGTGAGAGATTGAGCTCCAAGTCGTATAATTTTATGCTGGGTATTTTTGGTGTTAGTGGGTCTGTGAGTGAATTCTGGGATTTGGTTGATGTTATGAAGAAAAAAGGGTATGGTGTATCGAAATGGGTGCAGGATAAAGCTTTAGAAAAATTTGAGAAGGATGGGTTGGGTGGTGATGTTGAGAAGTTGAGAGTGGTGTTTGCATCAGGGTCTACTGACAATTCCTCAGATAAGATTTGTTCGAGGGTGTGCAAGATTGTTAGAAATGAGGTGTGGAGTGATGATGTTGAGAGGAAAATTCTTGATTTGAATGTTGCATTGTCTAGCGATATGGTTAAAGTGGTGTTGGAAAATCTTAGTATGGAGCCAATGAAAGCACTGATATTTTTCCGGTGGATGGAGGAGAGTGGGTTTTTGAAGCTTGATCAACAGACTTATAATGCTATGGCAAGGGTATTGGGAAGGGAAGATTGTAAAGACAGGTTTTGGAAAGTTGTTGATGAAATGAGAAGCAATGGGTATGAACTGGAGTTGGAGACATATGTTAAGGTTTTAGGGCGATTTTGCAAGAGGAAAATGATTAAGGATGCTGTGGACTTGTATGAGTTTGCACTGACTGGTGCAAATAAACCTTCGGTGCATTGTTGTACCTTTCTGCTGAGGAAAATAGCGGGTGGTAAGCAGCTGGATATGAGTCTATTTTCTAGAGTTGTTAGGGTTTTTACAGAGAATGGGAATGTGTTGACAGATTCAATGCTAAATGCAGTCCTTAAGGCTCTGAATGGTGTTGGTAGACATGGAGAGTGTAATAAGGTTTTCAAAGCAATGGAGGAAGGTGGGCTTGTAGCTAGTGGTAGTTTACAGAGTAAGATTGCATTCCGACTTAGTAGCGCTGGCAAAAAGGAGCAATCAAGTGAATTTATTAACAATATGGAAGCTTCTGGGCGCAGTTCAGATTACAAGATATGGGCGTCCTTAATTGAGGGTCATTGTGTAGCTGGTAATCTCAACAATGCTTCCAATTGTTTCCAAAAGATGCTTGAAAAAGAGGGGGCCGCCTATGCTGGTTATGCTTTTGAATTATTGGTAAATGCATATTGCAGAAAGAACAGGGCAACAGATGCATACAAGTTACTCCACGATTCAGTCAATGAAAGGCAGCTCAAGCCATGGCATACGACATACAAATTGTTGATTAGCAAGTTGTTGGTTCAGGGTGGATTTAAAGATGCTCTGAATATTCTTGGTCTGATGAAAAATGATGGGTTTCCTCCTTTTGTTGATCCTTTCATCGAGTATGTATCAAAGTCTGGAACAGGTGATGATGCTATAGCTTTTCTGAAGGCGATGACTTCAAATAGATTTCCATCTACCTCTGTGTTTCTCAGTGTATTTAAAGCCTATTTCAAGGCTGGACGGCATACTGAAGCGCAAAATTTCCTTTCAAAATGCCCGGGATTCATTCGTAACCATGCTGATGTTTTGGATCTCTTCCTTTGTGCTCAATCCGGAGAAGGTGCTGCTTCCCCTGCGTCTGCGGTTGCTACCCCTGCAGCAGCTACCCCTGTGGAGGCTGCTTAGGTTTTTTTAGATTGTATCTTGTCATGTATTTCACGAGGTTAATGTAGCAGAGAATTTGTTCAAAAAATTTTGGTTTGAATATTGTCTTTGCTCCTACCATTGATATTAATGATTATGGGAGTATTTTCAACTCTTTTGGTGTAGGAAAATAAAATCTATGGTATTCAAGTTTCCAGATGCTCTCTAAATTTTTCTTATCTTTTTCTTATGATATGAGCATGGCTATGGCATTTCAAGTTCTTATTGAATGACCCAATTGCTGATGATATCACATAGATCTAATGTGCCTCAGTGGTCTATGGCATCACACTTTTTTGGGTCAAGTTATGTTGTGTGTATTAAGTCCAGACGTTATGGTTGTGTTTTGTGGGTTTCAGTTGTCTGGATTAGGCTTTCAAGACTTTTCATCTCTGTCGAATGCTTACCTCTTGCAAAAGCTCTTTAGCCAGTACCTTATATGTTTTCAGCGATGCTTTACAAAGAGAAGTTAAAATGACAATGACAAGTTCTTGCTCTTCTGTAAGAGGTTGCAGGAGAAGGTTACAGACTTAGTCTCTCAAATTTTTATAGTAAGATGCCAAATTCCTAGCTTGATTCGTTTCTACTCGGGTGTTTTCTAGAGCTTACGGAAGTTGTTTACAAGCTGGTTTTATATGCAGAAGAAATCAACAATTAAAATTCAAGTTGGGAACATCTGCATTTTTAATTGCACACGCATGTAATCTTGATATGCTTTTCTTATTCGTACTGCAACAAGTTCCTGTCCTGCTGCCTTTTTTACTTGTGTTCTTAATCTTTTTGTTCATTTCAAGACCATGCAATTTATTTTTCTTTTCTGTTTCCAGTTTCGTATTCAAGATGTTAAATCTGCTCTATTTTTTCCTTGTTCCTTTTGTATTCTATAAGAACTTTTTTCCGTTGAAGACAGGCATGCCAATCTGATAGCCAAATGGATTAAAAGACTTTTCAGTGAGCAAAACGTGATGAGTGCGACTGAACATGCCATTCGGTGGATTCTTGGAGTTTTGTCTCAGTTTGCACACTATAAATTGATACACTCGAGCTATCCTCATGAAAATGAGAAATTTTTTGTTGGAGTTTTCTGTTTGAATTCTTCAACCCAGGAAAGAAACAAGACAACTGATATTCGTACGCCCAATGTGACAAAATACCATCTTCTTGTGATTTACAGAGAGTTTTGTGCAGTGAAGGGACCAAGATGTGGACAATTGAAGCTTGCCTTTTATCTTTTATGCAGAATTATTGAGCCACAACTTTGGTGCTCCCTTGTTCTGCTGACTTTGCAGGAGACGTGCCATGTCTGTCGGTCGAGGTGCCAAAGCCCAAAGCTTCCACATCAAACGCAATGCAGGAGCAGTTTTACTGTTTATCTACACAAACATACATCTCTTTTTAGGCCCATTAACTCAGCAGTAACGGCTATAATCTTCAACCCCTTTGATACAAGCAATATTGAGGGAGGGAGAATCGAACTCAGGATCTCGAATGTAAAAATAAATTGAGCTACAAACCCGCCAACTCCATGACTTATTAAAGTGCCAGTAACTATTTGGGAGGCAAATTTTCCCACCCAAAAAGGAAAAACAAGCCATAGTCAAGGTGGGGTTGAAACCATCATTTATTATTTGAACAGTTTTTTACAGAGATAAAGAGTAAAGAGAGACGCATGGGCTCATAGACAAAATTTTAAAAAAAAAAAAAAAAAAAAAAAAAAAAAAAGGGGATGATCAGATCACTGATGAATCTATCAGGTTCTTAAAGATGTTAAAAACATCATCCATCACAAAAAACACAAAGTGGAAAAAGATGGGGCATCATGTTCCCTCAAACTTAGCTTTATCTTTGCTATTTTGTACCATGAATGTCTTTCATCTTGTGAACATTTTAATCGCTTTAGATTTCTTGTGAACGACCCCACTTCGAACAACTTCCGGAAATCACCTTCTAGAGCCTTTGGAGTTTTAGAGTTTCGCATGAGGCCATGTTGATTCAATCAGTGAGAAAACCAGAGGACAATAAAAATATCGTCTCAGAATCTAGACGACAGTGCAATGCTGTCGTTGTTAACATATCTATCAATTTTATAACGTACGTATAATACCAAAGTAGTGCATGTTAAAGGATAATGTTTTCTTTTCATAGCGTGGTATCTTATGTTGTCCGACGCTGAATCGTAGACCATATATTCAAGCAAGAATTCTACGGGTCTAGGGTCACTTCTTTGCTATGAATTTGGAAATTTCAGAAAAAAGAGTTTGGTTTTCTTCAACAGCAAACCATTCCTTACAACAGAAAACACAAGTGGAAAAGGGGAGAGAAAAAGAAAGAGCTTATCACAATTTGAAACAATAGTTAATGGGAATCATTATTGTAATGAGGAGGGCCAGAGGGTTCACTCTTAGGGCCACACAAAAGATGCCCATTGTCCCTCAGAAAAAGCACTTTTAATACCTTCACACAGCATGATTGATAGTCTTCTGCAGAATATACAACTCTGTCAAGATGTTTCTAATAACACTTCTGATATCAGCCATTAATTATACATTTAGGGCTCATTAATATAATCCTGTCAATGAAGCATGAGCATTGCCATCATTACTTTGCTCTTGGATTCTATAGCTTAGACACTAAAAAGACATATGAAATCATGAACCCACAATTTTTTTTTTGTTGACCATTTGTAGTGGGCATCAGATTTCTACTGTCATAAGTACAAAGCTTGTGATATATGGAGACTTGCCATATAGGTGTAAATTTTCTGAACCCTAGCTTGTTTGCTCTGTAATTTCACATACTCAATGGCATTAGCCAAAATCACAAAAGCAAGAAGCATGTGGGCTTGTACTTTGCTTGGAGATCAAAAGGGGCTCTTCTTCTTCCATTGAATTTGTTCAAACCTCACCAACTAATAACTAGTGGAGCAACAATTATTTCCTACTCATTTGGCTGATGCACTTGTTTCACTCTCTCTGTTTGCATACCACCACACCACATAAAAACAAAAGATAAAATATTTAAACATTTTTCCATATCAAAATATAAAAATTCTTGTTTGAAAACTCTCATGGGTTTAGTTTATGAATAAGGAATTAAAAGAATGACCTTTTTTTTTTTCTTTTTTTTTCCCCACAAGTTTCTTCCCATGGGCATAGAAACAGTAAACAATGAAAGTTGGATTTTGTTTTTGGTTGCAAAATCATGAAACACGTTAATTTTCGTAGTGCTTTAAATTAATGATGGTTTTGAGAAAAATGGGGGTTGCTGCTAATGATATTGTAAAACCCTTGCGGAGTGCATAAGCAAACAAAATAGGCACAACAAGACAGCTTGCCCACAATTTAAAAGGGACCCTACCTAGGTGATGATCTTTATAAGAGAATCTTACTAAGTTAGATCATTACTTAACACAAAATCGTATATGATAGATTATTAAAACAAATGACAGATTAGCACTAGACACGAATAATTAGATTTTGGCACAGAATATTTGGTTAACTTGGCTGATGATCATTCGAATCAGTATCATTTAGTTTTCATGTTATTGGGGAAGTTTATGAATTCAAATTTCATGAACGATATTCGATTTTGCCCAAACCTAATGAGTTAGCAAACATAAAGGATATACGGCTAATTGCCTTTATCATGCAAATATACATATCTTGTTCAATCAGCGTCACACAACTAAATGCCCATTTCATGCCCAAAGTTATTCAACTATGTCTGCGATCCTCGTGACTATGCTTTCCTCTTAATGGAAATGCAATTGCTGATTGTGATTAGCCTCCATTTGCTAGCTGGGGGGAGCCATACCTAAAAAAAAGACCAATCACAGGATGCCACATGTAAAGACTAGCAGCCAAATCACCTTTCTGTGCACTTGTCCTGTTTCTGTAGGCTGTTCTTGATCGGGTATCATACAGCACCCGCATTTTATCATTGTCTCAATGTCAATTTTCTTAAAGGAAAAAAATAAAGGGAGAAAAGGGCATGCAATGCAGACAAAGGTTGGGTTAAAACTTTATCTTGAGGTATTTGGATTCAAAATCTAAGGTTATGGTCCTCAGCAATGAGAATCTACTACTACTAGTGGGTGTGCCTTTTTTGGGGGATTGAGGTGATGTGAAGAAAGGGACAATAATGCCTTAGCTGCCCTGCCTATATTATTAATTTAATCTGTACTTTTCTTCTGCTTGGTCAATTTCATTTCTTCTTGTTGCTTACAATATGTTTGGTTATTTGGTACATGGGTTCCTTAACATCAATAACCCGGAGTAGAAAATAAAAACTCCAATTCATTAGTCGAAAAAAATTAGATGTAACCGCTTATTATATATAATTAAGTGTGTCTGTTTTTCATTGCGTGATATAGATTTATATTTATATAACCTCTTTCTCGTGACATGCACATAAAATTTTCATATAAATTTGAAAGTTACATGTATATTGCAAGATGACGTAGACAATAATTTTTCTTATTTGGAAGTTGAGCCATTTAGGTGTCTAACTATACATGGTTTTGGCTTGTCATGGTTCTTTCTCCTACTAGTGAGAGATTGATGACATAGGAAGAGTGATTGATTCCCGGGATTTGTCTACAAAATAATTTGGATGGGTGCAAAAGATTAAACACTTTCTTGGAGAGCTTGAAATGTGAAATAGTATCATTATTTGCTGTGATAATAATTTAGAGGGAGAGAAGTGTCCTGGAGAAAAGCGTTTTTGATGGCAGCTTTTGCTTTTCAAAGTTTTTCTCTTTTTGAACAAATTTTGGGGAATGACTGTCTGCTGAAGGGCAAAGAGGGTGATAGCATGTGTGATTTGTTAGCTGATAGTGGTTTGTGGAATCTATAAAGCACATCCAACATTTCCAGCACAAAAGAAACCAAATTATGATTTAAAAAAAGCTCCATAAAAAGTAATATTTAAGCTATACAACAAATAATATTATTTGTGTGTGTGTACATTAAAAAAATCAAAAACAAAAATTCTAACAAAGATCCTCTAATGGTCATGGGTCATGAGTCATGGTGGTGGGTGACCAAATCCATTATCAACCATCAGTCACCCCCTCGAGATTCTCACATTCTCATTTCCTTGAAAGAGAAGACGATGTTTTTGTAACTTTACTGAATGGCCAAGCTCAGGGAATGTTGGATTCCCTCACAGCCTCAAGCAAGGCATTTCCCAGTTCCACATACAAATACAGACTCATCATTTTTGTGACCAACTTTTGAGAAACGTAAATCCAATAAAATACAAAAACACACACTGATAATAATAAGTAACAACACCCATCTCTAGGTAGGTGATATATATGACTCAATACTGGCTGGCTAACCAGAAAACAAAATTTTGTTCCATTGCTGGAAAATGTAAAAATACTAATCTGCATTTCATTTTCTGTATTTTTTGGGTACAAATCACTGAACTTTACTACAAGTATGTGTGTGTCTTCCTTTATCCTTAACATATGCATATATTATATTATCGCCAAAGGTCTTGATTTACAAATTAGTAGTCTCATATTCGAATCCGTATGAACCTTGACATACATGTACTATCTTGAATTTCCTATTCTCTCCTTGCCTTTCAAATTGTTCTTTTAAGTTTAGGAGTAGCTATTTATATATTATTTTCTTCACAGCCTCATGACTCAATGACAGGCATGCTAGTTCTTTCTTTTTATACCACCAAAAGAAGTGGCTTTTTTTCTTGGGTCTGACACAAAGATTTTCGGTGAATGGGATTCTCGCATGGAGAGAAAGCAAGAAGAGTTGGGGTTGCAATTTGAAGATCAACTTAAACAAAAAGAAATAAACCCAATTGAGGTTTTGTTTTTCTAGTAGCACTACCAGCCAGCATAAGCCGCCTACCTTCAGCATCTGGGTTTATCTGGTACTTGAGATATTTGATATACAATGACAATGAGGGGAGCAAAAGCTGCTCTCTGTTTCATGGCATTTCTGTGGTCTTGGACGTATGGAAATGGATTGCTTTCTCCTAAAGGTGTAAACTTTGAAGGTAACTACGCAAATTTTCTTCTTTCATTCGCTCATATATCTGCAACAGAAAGGCGCATTTTTTATAGCACTAATTAGTAGGAAAGTGCAGAATCCTCATCTGGGTGTTTTTGATCTCAGTTCAAGCTTTAATGGACATAAAGGAATCTATGGTGGATCCTCATGGTGTGTTAGATAATTGGGATGACGACTCTGTTGATCCATGTAGCTGGACAATGGTCACTTGCTCTCCTGAAAGCCTGGTTATTGGCCTGTGAGTCTCCTGCAATTTTTTTTTGTTCTTTAAATTTAAATTCATTTGAGAGCTATGATTACTAGGAAATGAGAAAATATAATGAATGCATTATGAAGTAGTTAAAATGGTCTTTGTTTTGCAGAGGCACACCTAGCCAAAGTTTATCTGGCACCCTTTCTCCAAGTATTGGCAACTTGACAAATCTTCAGATTGTGTAAGTTCTCCAACTGGAAAAAATTTCAGTTCTTCTTGTTCTCATTGTGTTTAATAAGGTATGGTGTTCTGCTTTACTTTTCAGGCTCTTACAGAACAACAACATAACAGGAGCAATCCCTCGGGATATTGAGAGGCTCTCAAAGCTTCATACACTTGATATTTCCAACAACTTCTTCACTGGGGATATTCCCTCCTCTCTTGGACACCTGAAAAGCCTTCAATACTTGTAAGTATCTGTGATCCGTGCACATGAATTGAAGTATTGTCTCTATTTGTTTGTAAAGCTAATACAGATTATTTCCATTGGGTTTCAGGAGGCTTAACAATAACAGTCTCACCGGAGCATTTCCCGTGTCGTTGGCTAACATGAGCCAGCTTGCCTTTCTGTAAATCTCTCAACCATTTCTATCTTAGTGCGGTTATATGTATATGTATCTAATTAAATTGTGGTTCTGAAGTAAGATTTTGTTATTCTGTGATCTTGTGCAAGTCAGGGACTTATCCTACAATAACCTGAGTGGCCCTGTGCCTAGATTTGCTGCCAAAACGTTCAAGTAATTTCTCTCTCTCTCTCTCTCTCTCTCTCTCTCTCTCTCTCTCGTTCAAGTAATTTCTCTATCTCTCTCTCTCTCTCCCCCTCTCATAATAGAGAATTGATTTACTAAGTTCTCTCCACCCCTCTCGTTGTTGTTGTTTCAGCATAATTGGAAATCCTCTGATATGTGCAACGGGGGCTGAAGCAGATTGCAATGGGACGACACTGATGCCAATGTCCATGAACCTGAATAGTACACAAAGTATGAACTTTGAATTTGTGTTGAGATTTTTTTTGCATAAATTATTTCCAACTTCCACAGTTAACAGTTTCAATTGTTCGTGTGATATTTGGTTTTGATTCTGACCTCAGTTTTTCTTTTCTTCTCTAGCTACTCTTCCTGGAAGACCTAGAAGTCACAAAATAGCGCTTGCGTTCGGTTTGAGCCTTGGGTGCCTCTGCCTCATTGTTCTTGGATTTGGAGTAGTTATATGGTGGAGGCAAAGGCGCAACCAACAGGCATTTTTTGATGTTAAAGGTACTTGCTGGATGATATATAACACCATCAACAGAAATATTATTACAACAATTTTTGTGTACTGGGAAAGTAATTGACTAACCAACCCTCTACTTAATGCCCTATCTTGTGAAATTTCAGACAGGCACCATGAGGAAATTTCCCTTGGGAACTTGAAGAGATTCCATTTCAGAGAACTTCAGATTGCAACACACAACTTCAGCAGCAAGAACATACTAGGAAAGGGTGGCTTTGGACATGTGTACAAAGGAACGCTCCCAGATGGAACTTTTGTAGCAGTCAAGAGGCTTAAAGATGGTAGTGCACTTGGTGGAGAGATTCAATTCCAGACTGAAGTTGAAATGATCAGCCTAGCAGTTCACCGCAACCTTCTCAGGCTATATGGTTTTTGCATCACGCCAACAGAAAGACTTCTAGTTTATCCATACATGTCCAACGGCAGTGTTGCTTCCCGTCTCAAAGGTAAGACATCATAAGTTAAAACAAACAGTAATTAACCATTCAGAGTGCCTATTATGTGTTGCTAATTTCGAATCTCACCGATCTTCTGACAGGGAAACCAGTCTTGGATTGGGGCACTAGGAAGCGGATTGCCTTGGGAGCTGGAAGAGGATTATTGTACCTTCACGAGCAGTGTGACCCAAAGATAATTCACAGGGATGTGAAGGCTGCAAATATACTTCTGGATGACTACTGTGAAGCTGTGGTGGGAGATTTTGGGTTGGCAAAGCTTCTGGATCACCAAGATTCACATGTCACCACAGCTGTGAGGGGTACCGTGGGGCATATAGCCCCTGAGTATCTTTCTACAGGACAGTCCTCTGAGAAAACAGACGTCTTTGGATTTGGGATCCTTCTACTTGAACTAATCACAGGCCAGAGAGCACTAGAATTTGGCAAGGCAACTAACCAGAAAGGAGCCATACTTGATTGGGTAAGCACACAACACCACTCCTAGGTAGTTTTGAATTTCATATAGTTCCAACTGACAGTCCAATTCATTTGATCACAGGTTAAAAAGATTCATCAGGAAAAGAAGCTTGAGATGCTTGTGGACAAGGATCTCAAAACCAACTATGACCGGATTGAGCTTGAGGAAATGGTTCAAGTAGCACTCTTGTGCACTCAGTACCTTCCTGGCCATAGACCAAAAATGTCTGAAGTGGTAAGGATGCTTGAAGGTGATGGACTTGTGGAAAGATGGGAAGCCTCTCAAAGAGTTGAATCAACAAAGAGCAAAGCCCCTGAGTTTTCATCCTCAGACCGATACTCTGATCTCACTGACGACTCTTCATTATTAGTGCAAGCAATGGAACTCTCTGGTCCAAGGTGATTTCCTACTTGAAAAATTTATGCTTTAAAAGAAAGCATATCATAGCGACAAGTTATAGTTGAAGCTGTTAGGTTACATGGATATTAAGAGTTTGTGTTGTATATTAGCAGGGTGTCAGAGCTTCAAAAATTTTGATGTTTTTTTTTCCAATTGTACAGATTCTTCTTCAATAAACTGACATTCTTAGATTCAGAGTTTTTGTTATATTGCTAAACAAAGAGTCAAGCACGCTATGTTGCCGAACTGCCCAACATGAGAACATAGCTCCATCCCCAAAGGCTGGCACTAACATAATCAAGTTAATAAGCAAAACTATTGAAGAGCTTGTTTTATACTAAAAGAAGGGTGCCCAGTATAAGTTGAACCAAAAAGAAAATTTAGAATGTAACAAGAGGAGCTACTTTTACATTGATAAGTTGAAAATTTTCACATCCTTTGAAGCTGGCACAAATTGCTGCAACGATTCTCCAGGTAGCCTTTCACTTCCATAATGCACTATAGTCATTTTTTTTAGCACAGGCGATCGAGCCAGTAAAAACTGAATCAATATCAACTCAGGTATAACGCCTTGTACAGCTCTTATAGATGCTTCTTTAAGTTGTTCAAAGTAGAGATTTGACAAAGACTGTGTGATGAGAAATTCCACGTTAGGTCTGGAATATGCAGTTGTACCAGCAACCTATTAGTCAAAAAGTCCAAAATCAAAAATCAAAAAAATAAAAGAGAACAACCAAAGTCTTGTACTTCAAAGTCCTTGAACAGATGAAATATGCTTGAATTAAATTGCTAGTTGTCCAGAGAAACTTACTGAAAGGAGCAGTTTCTCTAAGTTTGGAGCGCTTCTAAAAATGCAGATGCAAACCATCACTTCTGTCATACTATCCAACCTTACATCCTTGAGCTCAAGAACTGACAGATGTTGAAGCATAGTAGGAAGTCTGTCTGGTACGCTAATATTACCCAGAAACTAGGAAGCAGAAACAAATGCAAGCAACAATCATATAAGATACAAAAAGTTGTTAAGCCAGACAAATTAATAATAATAAAAAATAGAGGCCGAAAAGAAACAGTGGAAAATGATAAAATTTACCCTCAGGAAAGCACTGGATAGGGTAAGTTTCCTAAGAGCATGTAGACGGCCAATAATCCTGACCAACTGGCCTCCTCTAGAATTGACGAATTGGGGTGTGACCCCAACCCTCAAGCCAATGTCAACAGTAGCTAGTAATGGACTGTGCTCAAGACATATATCATCAAAGTTGGAATCTACTCTCAGATACTTGAGATTCGGGTTGCGGATTCGAAGAACAATTTGATGATCAATATCCAACAAAATCAATCTTTCAAGAACAGGGGAATTACTAACTAAACACTCTAGCATGCGATCACTTATACAAACTTGATTGAGCTGGAGGGTTGTGAGACTCCTAAATTCATTGACTACAGAAGATGGCTTGAATCTACAACCAAAAAGCTCCAACCGGTTCAGCAGTGGACTAGAGAGCAGACAAGAAGGCAAGTTGAAACGTCTTATAGAGTCAAACTCCTGCAGGATCAACTCCTTGAGGCCTTTGCTTGTTAAAAAACGAATCCACTGGTCTAAATCAGAATGGTCTGGCTGGCAATAAGCAGCAAGCTTAAACTTCTCTATAGCACCGTCGTGACATAACTGAACTTGACGGATGATTTCCATAATGGATCCCCATCTTGCCACCTTGTCCGATATCCGTATCGGTATGCATTTGTCATCAAGAACAAACTGTGAAATGCCAGTCCATTTATGTCTCCAGTTACTGGATAAGATACTAGTCCTCACAACTTCTTTTAAATTCAAGCGAACGAGGATGTTGTCCAATACATCCCAAGGCAGATAGCTAATCCTATCCCTATTCTTATGCGTTCCCATCTCACACAGTGGCAGAAGACTGATTCTTGAGAAGTAACTCTGATGGAAGATTTGTAAATAAGTGCTTTCACAAGCAGCTCTCTGAAACTAGAAGTGCAGTTGGAAGTTGATATCTCTCCAACCTACACATCATTATATGCATGTCATTCAATTTCTCATATCCTCAATTTGTTTTAGAAAAGTTCATGCTTTTGGCATCAAATAACTGCATACCATACATTGCTTTGAAGGCAAATACCACACACAGATAGCAACAATTAATTTGTAAAATTTACTGAGGCAGCCAAAACCCAGATAAAAAGAAAGAAGAAAACTTTAAATACCCAACTAAACAAATCACGGTGATCAAATCCTAACACAAAATTCTCAGTCTTCCATATCAGTCAAGTATTTACAGTTTATTTATGCGCACGCGCACACACACATATGTATATATAGGAAGAAGAAGATTACCGGCAAAACAGAGTGATCGGCGGCTGTTTATGGTTCGAGTGTCATCACTTTTATGGATGAGCTAACCTGTTACTGCAACTGATATCAAATATTAAAATCGAAATACATCTGTGGAAAAACAAGAAATGAGTAATTAATTCCTTAACAAATAAATAAATAAGTTCCACGCGAACATATGCTCTTACTCGATATAAAGAATCGTAAGTAAATAAAGCCCTATTATATAGTGGAAGTGGAGTATATTCTATGCTTCCATCCAATCAAAATTCGAAACCTTACATTTTGTAATTTGAAAATTAAGATTATGAACATTCAAAATTAGAGTTTATAAAAATAAAATAAAAATTTACAGTGTGTGGTTGAAATAGACAGATATTTTTCAGGGTAGAGAAAATGTTCACAAAGAGCAGTAAGTATTTAAATAAAAATTTATGAATAGGGGTGCAAGTTGGATTGAAAAATCTG